ATTTGTAAAATGTGTTTTATGTGCAGTTTGTACAGCATGCATTTGTGAACAGCATGACACACACACAAATGGCTTGTTACAGACAAAACATTAAACACGCATCTGTAACATTTTGATAGTGTTTTATCTCCATAACCACCCTAATAAATGTGGGTAGAAACATCAGTGCAGCTCATGCAGTGTACTTCATGTTTATGAGACGTGATGCAGGCCTTGTTTATGTGTTCATCTTGGTGTACTTCATGTTTATGTTATGCAGGCCTTGTTTATGTGTTCATCTTAGATGAACATAACCTCATTTGCAGTATTTCTGAAACCAAAATGAACATTCAAAACACACTAGAGGTATAAATTGCAATCATTCTATTTCTAGGCTTTTTCTGGACAGGTCACTTCTAATGAATAAAACCTTCAACCTGATTGGTTTCATGTCAGCTGAGAAAAATGTTGTCACGTTGGTGAAACTGTTCATTTCAGGTTTTAGAACATGATTGGATGCAACAGATTTCTGTCCAGACAGATGCACAAAAAGGTGTCTTGGTCACTTCTTGAGGGGATGGGACTGAGGTAAACCGCGCCTCATGTGCCATAAGATAAACACATTCACTTATTAATACAATCTGAGATGTATCCTAAATCATTTAATTATGAAGCTGATATGTGATTGATGGGACCGGGGTTAGATCTGATACAACTAGAATGGTGATGTCATTAACCTTGTATTATTACTACAGGTCTGGATTAATCCCCTTATTCACCAGCACACGACTAGAACCGATTAAAGGCCCTTGAAGGGAGTGTGTGGCAGGCGACAATGTGCCATGTGTGAGCTCTGTAACTGCGTCAGAGCCACAGAGCGCGCGTTTTAAACCGCCAATGCAGAAAGGAGAGACGAGAGGGGACGTTATGGGCCGTACGGATACAAACCCAGGCGCTGTTCTTTCCAACAATGACCCCTTGTATCCGCGCCATGCCACGCACTGGCCCTCCGTCCAGAATTCACCATTTTTTTCATTATCCATGAATGTTGACTGTGATAAGGGAATCCTAACCATGAGTGCATCTCTCTGTCTGATTCTCTGCCTCTTTCGTTCCTCCTCTCCCCTCCTTTCTTTGCGCCCTTTGTTTTATCTCAGGTGAATTGCAATCATGTGATCAAAACGAGCACCCCCTTCTCCCTTAAATGAAAAAGGGGAACAAAAAGCACTTCTGTGCATATGAAGAAAGAAAAGAAAAGAAGGAAAGGCTTGTGTCTTCTCTTGTACCGCCACTCTTTGTCTGCGTCTCAATAAACTCTGACATATAGAGAAAAATGCTCCAGGAGCGCGGAGCCTCAGCCCGGGGAGCTGTGGTGGGACTGCACCGCTCCTGGAGCCCCAAACCCGGGATCTTAAGACAGCCACTCCGGGGATTTCCTCAGCTGAGGATTTGCGGCCCGGCCTCGGTTTGACGTGAGTGTTTATTGTGGCGTCTGTCCGTGTGTTTGAGCGCATCCAGTGAAGTGAAGGGAAATAACCAGGCCTGACAAAGTTAGTGTCTAATCAGTTGATGGCGTCTGTAGGTGAGAGGAAATGTTGGTATAATGTGTTTGTGTGAGAGAAATGTCTTGATGTAATAAATCAGGAGAGGGACGAAGTTTGGTTTCGGCCGTGACGCGTCCGTGAGTGATCAGATGTTTCAGGAATCTCTCAAACCGTTGGCTTGTTGTTGAGGAGCGGGAGAAAAAATCGTCTGGAGATAAGAGAAAACTTTTTATTCTGGCTTAAGAATTTAATTTGTCCGTAAAGCTTGACTTCAGAATAATGATGGACAGTGGACAAACTTTGTTCAGACTGGGAGAAGTTCAATTAATCGAAGCAAAGTCAGTGAAATCAAACATTAATCATGAAGATAATGCTGCGATACAAATTCCACTGATTTGGGGGATTTAATTTTTAAAAGCTCCCATTGAAAAGCAGCTTGACAAAATCACATCATCTAGAAAAGTTGGTTGTTATTTTTTCCAGTTTTCTATGAGGCTCTATGTATTACATGGAAAATCACATCTACTCAGTCTTGCAGTCAAAAGATGAACTTTAAACTGTGCGATGTTGAACTTAATTAAAATTACATTTTAATCAAGTAGCTGAAGCAACTTTCAAACTAATAAAATACCACACACATATATATATATATTAGTCTCAGGCCTTTTGTAAAGTATAGAAAGAAACAAAAAGCTGACAATGATCAACAGTTGAACCTGTTCCCACTCAGTGTATAGATTGTTTGTATGAATATAATTTGTTGGAAATAAAATTACTTTGTCATTTTTGATGTTTTGTCACTAATGTGAAACTACAACCACAGTTAATTTGTGTTGGAAAGTAATAAAATAACAAATGGATTTAATCACACACTCAAACTAAATGGTACAAATTTATCCTGTCATGTGACATAGATGATGTAGTACACACACACACACACACACACACACACACACACAGCTCAGGGTCAAAACAAAAGCACAGCTCCACGGCCTTGTGATCAGGAGGCCAGGGGCCCCAGGCTGATGAGGCCGGGGCAGCAGAGCTGCTTCAGACCTGTAAACTCACATTGTCCTGCTCAACCTAAATACTAAATATGGTCTAATAGTCTTTGTAGCAGGAGAATCATCAGGGCTAATGCTAATGTTCGAGAGGGAGAACAGACTCCACAAGAAACCAGGTTAAATAAGAAAAACAGCTTAAATTGTAACAAAATCTCAAATTCTCCCGGTGAAGGTACTGAACTGACCACCGGCTATAAGCCAGGTGACATAGCTCTTTAAATAAGTGACAAGTATACAAGCAAATAAATACAAATTTACACTAATTAGAAAAAAGGAATTTAGAGGAAATAAGAGGAATTAATATCAATGTGTTTTTAATTTGTCAAATGTGAGAAACATTTAAGAGTAATCAGTCATTTTACAGCCAAACAAAAGGTCAAATCTGACATATTTAAACTACGTGTCCTGTTGTTTTGTTGTCTCTGGTCACATGCCAGTGCCATTTTTTAAGTCTAAGAAGAAGGAGACATTCTCCAAGACAACAGCACATGGTATCTGAGTCGCTGTATCATTTGCATGCTGTTTATTCCCCTCTGCCTCTACCCTGTATGTCACTCTCGTTTTCTATTCGCTGTCTCCCTGCATGCACCTGTGCAGGGCAGAGCAGGTGTGTCCTTGTTTGGTCACTGAAGTGAGTCAGTCAGCCCTGCCGAAGGATCCGGCAACTACTGCTATTAAGTTATTACAAATGTAATTAACTCTGGCTTTCATGGCTGCATTCAAGCTTGAGTGTCCTCTGGACAAAGGTCAAAGGTCCAGATCAACCACATAATGACATCTGAGCTTCTATGATTTATAGACTTCTCCTTAATGGTCATAAAGTTGACTTACATCCCCAATTAAAGTGTCGGGGAGTCTTCAGGCAGGTAATAAAATTATTTTAGCCCTTCTCAAGAACTTCCTGATCTTTTCTGTTCACCTATCTTCCTTAATAAATTCACACAGCTGTGTTACATTTAAATAGGTCCCCCTCTTAAACATCTGTGAATCCTGCCTTTGTGCTCATGGCACCAAAGTTCCCATTCTTGTGTGTGTGTGTGTGTGTGTGTGTGTGTGTGTGTGTGTGTGTCGCTCAAATTAAAAAACGCCCTTTTGTGTGGGTTCTGCTTCGTATCTCCACTGACCAGTCAAAGGAAAGAATCCAGTTACTTTGGATGTGTGATGGGGAACATCTAAAGGAAACTGATATATGAGGGTTAAGGTGGGGGTGTGGTGGCAGTGGTGTTGGAGGAGGTGGGGGGTGCTGGGCCAAGGGTCCCAGCTCAGACAGAGAGGAGTTCAGTTACCTGTGGCTGATCTCGGCTGGTATTTTGTAATCGTCCTACTTGTTGCTGAGAAGTTGAACAGCTCATGTTTTCTGTTTCCCTCTCAGGAAGTAGTTGGTGTTATGTGCTCATTTATTGTTCATCATACTGAGTTTATGGTCTTTTATTGGCTTTGACTGACTCATGTTAGTGTGACTTTAGTAAGTCTGTGGAAAGTTACATCTTAAATGAATGTGAGCTGACTCTAGACTGTCACTGTTTTCTCTGAGAATTGACAGTCTGTCGGTCGTTCCCCCACTTTGCTCCAGACTACGATATCTTTACAGCTGTTGGACTGATTCCCTTGAGTTTGTAGAGGCGTCCCCGGACGATGAGTCCTACTGATGTTGGTGATTCCCCACTTTTCCTCTAATTCCACCAGCAGGTTGACAGTTTTTGCTTTTGGTGAAGTAAGTCATTATGTCAAAGACATTCCCATTGGCCTCAGTGGTACTTTGGTACTTAGTGCTAATAGGTACATGTTAGCATGCTAACACACTAAAACTGTGAGCTGCTCTTACACAGAACTTACCGAACAGAGAAGCTGATATTTCAGGTACTTAGACAACACAAGGAGTCATCAAATAGAAGTGTAACATGTTCACCACACCATCAGTACACTGTATCAACCAGGATGGCCGAGTGGTTAAGGCGTTGGACTTAAGATCCAATGGGTAAATGCCCACGTGGGTTCGAACCCCACTCCTGGTAAAGCACCCAAAGCTTTAGTTTACACATACAGTAACTCCATTAAGGATGTGGTAACAGCTCTGCCCACAGCTGTTTCATCTGGCAACGTGGCCGAACAGACAAAGGTGCTGGATTAATGCTCCAGTCTTAATCAAGCTTTGGGTTCAGATCCCGCTGCTCAAGCTGAGTTCTGTGAGCCGGTGTTAGGTGATTGTCTGTGACCTGATAAATTACATTCTTGTCTGATAACAAGTTTAGAAAAATGTTGTCTGGCAACATGGCCGAACAGACTAAGGTGCTGGATTAATGCTCTAGTCTTAATCAAGCTTTGGGTTCAGATCCCGCTGCTCAAGCTGAGTTCTGTGAGCCGGTGTTAGGTGATTGTCTGTGACCTGATAAATTACATTCTTGTCTGATAACAAGTTTAGAAAAATGTTTTTCTATCTACCGTGCACCAAAATGACCGTGGCTTGTTGTACATGTTGTTTACATATTCAAGCCACGTGACTTTTGACCTTTGAAAGCCGTCAGTTCAGGTTGTTGATTGCTGTTTTGTTCACGTACGTTTTACTGTAGTCACAGTGTCACTGAGCAGACACTGTGAAGTGTCACATGCTTTCAGCATCAGCCCTTGATGCAGCTGTTACAGCAACAAAAGGCAAAAGACAAAAGGAGGATGATGCAGGTGAAAGTAAGAGAACGAGAATCTTCAGTGGTGCTTTGCATCTCTCACAACCGCAATCAGCCCCACTCACTAACACTCAGCACTCTCTTTGTCCGCCCTGCAGTTTGAATATTATAGCCTATATTATAGAACATTACAGCCCCCCCCCTCCCCAAGTCAGCAGATTTGGAATCTCTCTGTGGGACGAGGAGACATGTTTGAAAAATGATAATTGGGAGGAGTGAGAGGCGAGGGACGTGCAGATTGAGTCATTTGCGAGAAAATGCAGAAAATGATGTTGAAGAATGCAGCGAGGAACAAGGCTGTTCTTTGTCAGGCTGTTTGTGCTGCCTGTCTGGCCCGTTACAGGGATGTGCTCCTCTAAAAATGTTCAACTTTACAGACTCTCTCATAGACTGGACACAAAACAAAAATCTCATTAAACATCTCATTTAGCTTGAGCACAACAAGGTGCAGTTTAAATACTTGTAAAACAAACTTGGTGGGAAGTAACTGATCACATTTACTGTACTTATTGTGCTTAAACTTAAACTCTGCTTTTTTCTTATTAACTAACAAAACAAAACATGATACATTATTATATATTAATGCACGTTCTGCTTACAGCAGCCTTCTTTGAGTTGTACATATTTACCATAAAGTGTTACACACAAAACAAATGATCATCTTATAAAACATATATTCTTGTGAACTACCAGACAACATGTATGTAAACTGACCAAACTGAATGCTGCCTGCACATTACAATGTATCAGTAATTCTAAAACAAACACTTAAAAATGTGCAGTAATAAGGAGTTCTGAAACATTCAGTACTTTCAACATCACAGTATAACTGCATTTTGGAGTACATTTAAATGTGGTATTTGTTTACTAAGGAAAGGAGCTGAATACGTCTTCCAGCACTAAGCACAAATCAATCTGTACACCTTCCTATGTTTTTGTCACAGAAGCTGTACATTTTCAACCCTAGGCTAAGAAGCACAGGCTGAATCAGACCAGATTTACTCAAACAGTAAGATAAGTGTTCGAGATCGTTGACATAAAGCTCCCTTACACTTAGGGCAACGAGGGGAAACTAATATTTAATCTACCTACATTGAAACTAGCAGGGTGGATGAAGGCAGCTCCCGGTATTTCACACTACAGTCCAACAACAGACTCCAAAACAACCAGGAAGTGGAAT